CTGACTCTAATGTACTGTTTTATGGCTTTAAAAAATTGTCGATCAGTGAAAATCTGTCGGTGCCACTGGGGTAGTTGGCTATATGGTATGGAATAACCACTGCAAACATGTTATGCGAATATTGCGGAAACTGTTGTCTTATATAAAGACCATCGGGGAAACCTGGATCCAGAAATTATAGTCATCAGTGATGACAATCTTCTGGTTGTTTTGGTAACATGTGTCTTGGTTACATTAATTAATCGCCATATTAAAATTTTCTTTTCTTTTCCACTAGAAGACTGTCATCACTGTTGAATCACTGATGATTTTTCAGTGGCTAAGTTCGCCGAATAATAAACTATAAATTTCTGCAAGTTAAATATATGAGGTGAAGATCAAGTTATGAGATATAGTAAATTATATTTGATTTTCAAGGGTAGAATTTTTTTTAAAAAAAGCTTTTATTATTTTATTTACAACATGGCTTCGAATACTTTCATTAGTTTTTTGTTTCTTTCACTTCAAACCTTTGAAAAATTATTGCAAAACTATATAAACAATCGCAAATATAAAATGAAAAATACAGTCGTTATCTGACCGTTTACAAAACCCTATCAAGTAACATGAAAAACCAAACTTTAAATATTTGGTTTTTTATGCCGTTATTTGTCAATACTAAAAAGATTCGAATTTCTAACATCAAATATATTAACAATAGATAGACAAGCATTGTCTTGTAAGGTTATTCAAAAAAGACCAAAATACAACATAATTCCAATAGACTCTTTACGAAATGTAGGATCTCAATAAAAAAAACTTAAAAATATTACGAATAAACGTCCTGTAGTCAAAAACTATTCAAGATACAAACATCAATAATTGTCATTATAGTAAAAACATTGTGAAAGCAAAAGCTGTTCTCGTCATAAGAACAATAATACTCTTTATACTTTTAAATGTGATTGTGTTTACCAAAGTACATACAAAAGTCACTAAATATTTTAAATAAATTTTAATATAATGAATATCGATGCAAAATTGAATATAGTGTTGGGCCAATTCGACCATTTGACCAGACCCAATTTGACCAATGACCAGTCTGGTCAATGGTCTACAAATTGACCAATCAGATCAATTTGACTATAATCAAATTTGCTTGGCTAGACCATTTGACCAGACCTGAAACCCTTTGATCAGACCTGAAACCCTTTGACCAATGATCAGCAAATTTATAGTCGACCACTAATTTGACCAACACTGAGCATAATGTATAGTTATTGGATCCAATAAAGTATACATTATCGATCGGTAAAACCATACTGATTAAATTATGAGCGTTACATACATTATTTTACACTTGAAAAATGACCAAATGATATCAGGGAAAAACCTATCGCTATTATCAAACTTATAATAATATTTGTGACTAGTTTGTTTTCTGAGTGTCTGACTTTCAATTATATTTATAATAATGACTTGTCACAAAATATAATTGAAAGCGATTTTCCCTAGATGCACTCAGGGAACAAACTGGATACAAAATATAATTGAAAGCCTGATGACAGATGTTCCTTGACGGCACTCATATGAAAGCAGCTGGAATACCGGATATATGGATAGAGTCTTTGCCGGCGGAAATTGTTTCATAAAGATAAAAACTTGCCCGTTACGCACGAATGTTACACGAATATGCAATGTCTGATTTTAATACACTAATATAGAAGATAGATTTACAGGAAAGAGAAGAAAAAATACCATTGAAATAAGCTGATCATTTCATAGAGCTTACTGATCTCCTATTCGAATAATATTTAAATCCAGATTTAACTATTCGGACTTTTGATAATTATTAATCGCAGATCAGAGCACATCAGGATTTCAATTATACAATATTGATACAATTAAAGCCCGATATGTGATCGATCTGAAACTACCCCAGTGGCACCGACAAATTTCACTGATCGACAATTTTTTTAAAGTCATAAAACGGTATATTAGGGTCAGGTTTATAATTATAACGATACTTATCTTATATTAAAATTTTGCAAGAAATTTTTTTTACTAACGCGCAGAAGGTAGTTACATAGACTAAATTTTGAGGTACGGCGGTTTTTCTAAAAAAATGGTAGTTTTTGTTTTGATTTCACGTTACACCTGATCTTGATAAATTTGAAATGACGTTAAAAAACTTATTTATTTCGTTAACTTTAAATGCCATTTCATTGTCACACATTAAATAATATATATTACGATCTTAGTTGCATAATAAATATAGCACACATCAAAGCTTTAACATTTTCAACACTAGGCCCTTTTTCCTTAATGTTAAAAAAAACCTTTTTGGTGTAAGTATATACACAAGTAATAAAATATATGGGATGATTTCATATGCCCGTTTTTCCAATTTGATCTTTGTGTTACATCATGTATGCTATTATGGACTCTTTTTACGATCAACTTTAATAACAATAATTCTTTAGAAACGATGGATTTTTTTATAGCTATTTCCTGGCATTATTTGCTTATTTGCCCTTAAATATATTTCATTTTATTTAAATTTCAAAAGTTTCAACTTTTCTTGATTCTGTGAATCAAGAATTGAACTGACTTTTCTTGATTTTGTGAAGCCAAGAATTGAACAAAAAGTTATCGTATAATTCATTAATCACCAATACCCTTCACGTTTAGTTATAATACCATTCACGTTTAATTATAATATCCTTCACATTTAGTTATATAGTTTAATTCATTTATCATTAATACTCTTCACATTTTATCAATATGATAAGTAAACACATAATTGAATATAGGTTTCGTAAATTTATAAACGAAAACCCATACAAGAATGTGAATAAAGCTGTAATAGGTTGTTTTTCTTTCATGGAGTTAGCTTATCTCACTACAGGAATTATAATGGTAGTACTTGGTTATTCATGGCTTGTTCATCATGGAGATAGCTTACGTGATATAGTCTTATCGCAAGGTTTACTTATAGGTATATTTAAATAATTTGCCCAACTTAATTCGATTCAAGTGTTTTTAAACTTTATGAAATTTTATTTTATTTTCTTAGGTGGAGTAACCGTTGGGGTTCTAATAATATTGTCATTTTCTGTTGGTGCAATTGGTTTTTTTACACCTTTTAAACGCGACAGTTGGTTGATAGCACACAATATGTCTATAATCATAACAATGCTTACTATCTTGGCTTTGGGTGCTAAAATTTGGTTTAAAACTCTGGATAGCCAGAAATTTGTTACAAGTATATGGATAGGATGGGGTAACGATACTAAAGCAATATTTGAAGATCAAGTATGTATGCTTTTATAATATATACAGTCAGACCTTCCTAAATGCACGCCAGGGTTGCAATTAGAGAACATATGAAAATATTATCACGTGATAAATATGGCTTTAGTAGCCTATAAATGGGGTTGAGTCAATAGAAATCAAGCAAATTTTTTCTAAGGAAATTTTTTTAAAACTTTAACAATAACTTAACAACAACTTAATCAAATTCAATAAATTTCTTCTTAAATGAATTCTACAAACTTATAGAATTTATTTAAAAAAAATTTTTATTAAATTTGATAAAGTTTTTGTTAAGTTATTAGTATTTAAAATTTTAAAAAATTTCAATAAAAATAATTTGCTTGACTTAACCCAAATAACGAATTTGATTGGTTAGTAATCACGTAGATGCATTTATGGAGAGAGTTTTTATAAGTGGGCCAGAAAATTAGCGTGCACTTATCTATAAGTCCCACTATGGGCCCGGGTTTATATCATGCATTTAAGGGGTCTGACTGTATTATTTAATCGCGTAAAAGTTTTTATTCTAACATTATATATTATATATATATATATATTTATATAGCTCAATTGCTGTGGGTGGGAGTTTCCATTATCTAATGGGGTCATATCAGAAGTGTGCCCTAATCTCCAAATTGCAAACTCAACTTCGATTGCGGGCTGCAAAATTCCACTAATAAATTCAGTTAATATGACCTCCCGCATATTATTTACATCGTTATTCGGATTTATTGCGTTAGATATACTTACTATCCTTTCAGTAAGTATGCTTATGCGTGTAAGGAAAATTAAAGAGCGACTTCGTAAGATTGAAAAGAAAGGGGCATTTTTCTTATAATTTTACCCATTGTTCGATAGATAGTTCCACAAAATAATTTAATTACAACACCTAATAAATAAATATACAATCTATTTATAATAAAATTTTCCCATCAAATAATCTTGCTCATAATAAACCCTTTCTAAAGACAAATATAAATATCTGCTAAAAGAATGAATTTCTTTATATGATAAATACTTATACACTCAATCCCCAAACATTGACAATAACATACATACTATTTGTATCATGTCTGTATGTGGTGCTGCCTAAATATCATAATAACAATAATAAATATATATACTAAATCTGGTTTAATAATACACATTCTATTTGAAATCACTCACCATCATGTTTACTATCCCAATGGCAAGTGGTAGTAGCATGTATACCTGCACCATTCTTTTCAAAAATAGTACATGTCACTAACGAAAAATAAAAAAATATCAGTATGTAGCCGATAATTCAAATGATATTAAATGACATTATACAGTTATTTGATGAAATTAATTACCAATATACTTGATTGATTTATTCAAGGCTGCTAACCTTTTTACTGTATTTTCCACAATAATAGAATTCCAATTGGATATTCTACTATGAAGATATGCGGAATCTTGTAATATTGTAGCTTCCACTATCTATTTTTATTTTATAAATTGGTTAGAAGAAAACAAAATTAACCTGTCATCATATGCTCTTTAACATTTCACAACCTCTTTTACAATACTTTTAACTTCTTCTTCATTGAAAGTTTTTTTTGGATCTTTAAAGGAAAACTAGGAATTTAATCGCGTCAATATATATACTTTAAACAAGGCATCAGGCAACTGTGCATAAACACAAATAATAAACAGACCTCGCCACTAAATCTCTGGTTTTCAGGATTTATATCGTCAAAACTTGAAGGTGGTGGATCCTCCATCTTAAAAATTGTTTAATCGGTAACGGTAAAAGAACTGTACCCCGTATTTATACGTCTCGCTTCATATGTATGTACGATTATCGTTAATCAAATCGTTGCCAAAAATATACTGGTCACATCCGATCTGGTCAAATTGGTCTATTATCATAGGCAGAAGTTTGTCTGATTGGCTAATCATAATGGAATAAAAAAGGCTGTATAGAAGGTTTCATTAGAGCTGTAGGACTCCATAGTCAAAAATAAGATCTAATTCTCATCCGTTTAAAAAAGTTAGTA